TCGTATTATAAGTCACGATTTAAATAAATCGAGTTTTATACGGTTTTAAAACTCGGTCAACAAACTGGGCGTAAATATGCTTTATTTTAAACTTAGGTATATTTTGTTTCAGATTTCAGATTTAATTTAATCATATAATTTGTTTCAAATTTCTTCCTACTGGGGAATCATTCCGTTCTTTGGCGTTTCAATATAAGGTATCTCATTCATGGATTTCTCATATAGTGAGGCAAGTTTCACAAAGTATTGTGAAGAATATGCTAGACGTTTTACCACAACTAACGGAAGATTTCATGCGGATAACTGCAAACAAATTTATGGCACTGTGGAATTTTCCCAACTGTGTGGGTGCCATAGACGGCAAACACATACGAATAAAAGCACCTAATAACAATGGATCAATATTTTTTAATTATAAGGAGTATTATTCAATGGTTTTGTTGGCGATTGCCGATGCAGATTGCAAATGTGTAGCAGTTTAAATACACTGAGTTATTGTGGAAAAGATTTTATCATAAACTATTCTTTGTAGGAATTTATTTAAAAAGCAACATTAGTCGCAGAATACAAAATAATGAATTCAAATTCCCAGCGCTTAGCCCTCTTCCTGAATCGACAGAAGCTGTGCCTTACGTGTTTGTCGGAGATGAAGCTTTTCCATTGCACGAACGTTTGATGAAACCATATCCTAGAAGGCTATCACTATCTGACAAATCTAAAGCTGTATTCAATTATCGTCTTTCTCGAGCACGGAGAACCACGGAAAATGCTTTTGGAATATTGTGTGCTTATTTCCGAATATTTTTCAAGCCAATTGCCACCGTACCAGAAGCTACCGACAACCTCATCACTAGTGCATGTATATTGCATAACATTTTACGAGGTGCCAACATTCCCCTTCCAACGCATATTACAAGCAGTGATATACTACCTCTACCAGAAAACAATTTAGTACCACTGTCTCAAAATAATACCCGAGGACTAGTAGACCAATACAGATACGCGAAGAATTTAAAGAGTATTTCAATGGTATTGGCGCGGTGGAATGGCAGGACCATTATTGTGTAAATAATTGAACTTATTTTATAAATCTAGCACTGGGTTACTTTACAGTTGTCCCCGAAATAACAGGAGTGCGATAATTTGACCAGTAGCTCGTTTCTGTAACAATTCTCCACCAAGGCGAATTGAGATATGAATTCGCCGCCCCGTTCTCTCTACTGCTAATTAGTAGTAGAGAATGACATATATTCTCTACCAGTAGAGAAATAATCGGTAGAGAAAAGTTACAGAAACGAGCTACAAGTGTGACTACTTTTCTTTTGTTTGTTTAATGTTTATAATTTTTTTTATAAAAGACTAGCTGGTAGTACAACAAACACCATACAAATTAACATTTCAAACTTTCTAGAAAAATTAAAAAATCCTGCAAAATTTCAACAAAATTCCAAACTTTGTAATAAAGTTTGTAATCAAAGTACAAACATAAATTTTTGAGTTTTTGTGTTATACCTTATGGTCTTAGCACTACAAAAAAATTAGTAAATAAAAATCACAATATAACGTAACATAAATGGAATAAAGATTCGAATTACATAGATAAACATATAGACGTAGCAGGGGTTGGCGTGTTAAAAAATTAACTTTAAATCATTGGGCAAATAGCAAAACAGTACCCGTCCCACATTTAGAGAATATTGCATGTTTCAGACCGAATGTCTTAATAAATTAGTTACCGAACATTAAACACGTAGGCGCGTATTCATAGTCCAGCAACTAAGTCGAAACTAACAAAGTTGCAACTTAAATTTAAGTACCAACTTAAAATTTACCTCTATTCATAGTCGCATTTCAGACTTCTACTAAGTAGTTTCGACTTAGTTAGCAAACCGAGTGTGAAAATTTATCGACTTTTCTTTACGATATTTTGGAAAAGTTACATTTTTATTAAATAATGTCAAGTTTGATCATCCGTTTATGTAATTTTTATTTTCATTGCATGATTATGCAAAAGAATAAGGTATCATTTTCTTGTTAATTGTGTGAAATAGCCAAAACATCCGCAGTGATGTGAAGTCGATGTTTATCGAAACCATGCTGTGAAACATTTAGTAGATATCTAAATGTTATGCACAAATTTACTTTAAAAGAACTAGCGNGCAGCCGAAACTAAATTTTAAGTTGGTACTTAGCCAGAAAAGTCGAAACTAAGGCGACTATGAATAGCTTAAGTTGTGACTTAGAATAGTTTCGACTTATTTATTTAGTACGACTATGAATATGCGCCTTAGATTTTAAAATAAAGCTTGCACCCTTGACTAAAAGCGTATTAAAATTTTCTTGGATCGGATCACCCATTTGGACACAATAACCGGAAATCACTAAACATTCCCGTCCGAATTCGACAACTTTACTTTTTCCATACACTTTTTCATTTTGCTGGTAATGATTCTGAATTTATTTAGCACATGTACGCACCTGTCTTCTGCAGTGCGTCTGCTATTACATTCCACAATCTTTGTTTTGCTTGAGTGTGCATATATCCCTCCCCGAGCTTATATTATATAAACACTCATTGCTTTTAACAAAATCAACTAGCACTTCATCCTCCTCGGTCGTCCAGGTGGCCATCGTTAGACTCTCCATACTTCCAATTACATATATGCAGCTATACATTTATTAGATTAAACATGTGAGAGGAGGATCTACTCTACTGAACAAACATGTAGGACATGGGGTACTTTTTGCCGTCATTGTTATAATTTTTGCTTTTCCTCAACCGATACCACCTTGTATAAATTCGCCTTTCGACAGGTCAAGGAAAATTTATACAAGGTGATATCGGTAAAGCAAAAACAAAAACTAGAATAACAAATTATACGTACAATGGCAGCGAGAATCGCCACAAATGTACAACAAACACAACATTTTGACATTTAGAAGTACCGCGGCCAAAATGTTCTGTCAACAGGACCTTGTATGAATTCGCCTTGCATCAGATCTTTCTTCGCCTTCAAGGCGTATTTAATAAGGTGAAGTTATCCGTATAGAAGTCGAATTTATACAAGGTGGTAGCAAGAATACAACAACAAAAACCATATGCATTTTGTATTGTGGGTGTTATCACCCGATTTACATGATTCAAGTACTTAAAAGCAATTCTTGCTGATTTTCTTTTGTGTTTTCTATTTGCTTTTACAAGCTTCAATTCTGTCGAGTTCAAGTTGTTGGTTCTTTAAATGGGAAGCAACGAAAATGTCAAAAGCAAAGCAAGAAAGTTGAAACGAATTAACGGTACAGACGCATGTGTACTCGCCTCTTTGCTTCACACCCCCTCTCTTCCACTTGCGAGCAGAATTGATTTCAATAGTTGAACTGTGTAAAAGCAGTCTATGTCAAATCGCAGCTTACATGTATTTTGTTTTTGCTTTTTATGGGTCTGCTGTCAAATCAGTAAAAGCACAAACAAAACACATGTAGGGCGAAGAAATCCGCAGATCCAACAACACCACCTTGTATAAATTCACCTTGGCCGTATATAAGTAAAAAATTAACAAATTATACACACAATGGCAGTACGGAATACAGAAAACACATCATTTTGACGTTATGCTTTTCACGGTGAAAAATTCTGCTGTCGCCCCAACACCACCTTATTAAACTCACCTTGATCGCCGTAGTAATCTGATGTATCATGTGAATGTCAAAATGATATGTTTGTTGTAAACAAGGCGGATTCATATTACATTTGACATTCACAAGGACCGCGGCGAAAATCTAAAATCGCCAGTAACACAAGAACGATAGAATACAAGATTGCACATTCCCGCAGAATGACATTTGCGGCAACGGGTAAACAAAGAATTTGGCGAAGAACAATGAGTTGACAGTTGTGAATTTGCAATGAGAAAACGTGTTTTCTTCACAATTCACCAATTTTTCAAGCCATCTTATAGCAAATTAAGCACAACGTTAACAAAAATTATACAACCACTCTTGAAATGTGTTCAAAAGAATAGAAAGAATTTTGTGTTTGTATTGCAGGTGCCGGAAAAGTGATAATATCTTGTCGCAGCGCATGTTTTCCTGCAGAAAGTGGTCGATGCTTGCTTACCTCCGATTTTAATTTGTAAATTGTGGTATTTCAACGTTTTCAACTTAACATGTCGTGTTTAAAAGTGGTGCTTTCAATTGTATGTGGGCTGGTGTTGCTGTTTGAGAACTGTGAAGCTGTGGAAGCTTTTGACAAATCTCCAAAGGACCAAAAGGAAAAATCAACTAAGTTGCCGCCTTGTAAATCATGCACTGTGCTTGTGGAATCATTTAATTTGGTGAGTGCGTGGCAGTAATAACAAATTTGTGTCGTATTAATATAAACTTTGCTTACAGGGTTTGGAAAAAATAAGTCGCGGCAAGCATGCCGGTGGTGATGCAGCTTTATTTCCATATTTTCCATAAATGAAGTGGTGCTTTATCATGCGCGGAATGCACTTAAAGGCATGGTACGTCCTCAGAGTTTAAAGATTTGTCAATTCCAAATCAACACGGGCTTCATACCGGAACAAGAAACATTGATAACATTTTCCTCGAATGATCTCGATGATTTACCGGATGCCGATCAGGTTCCTCATGACTTTTAGGTTTCGCTGTCGTTGAGTTTCACGGATAACGAATTTCCGCCGAGTAGGAATCCTCCTTGGTTACCAGCAAAGCCCATAAGACACGCACAACATATATTTAGTTCGCAATTAGAATTCGAGGAAATGGTGGATAATTTCAACAAGTCCCTATAGTATTTCCGCCCATTTCAATTATTTATTTATTTTCCTTACAACAGTGACAAAACCTAGTTCCATCAACAAACCTACGCCTGTTAGGTCAGCTGCTTCCGTAGATAACGCCTATTTTACCAGATGCTACCGAAATAAAGCAAGAGGAGCAACCTCAACCATCACCACCAATAGACATGCTCAATTTAAACCAGCCCCAACCCCAGCTGCCGGTGCAAGATCCACAAGCCACAACGAGTAACGCTAGTTTCGATTTGCTTGGAGCATTCGGGGATGATAATTCATCTGGCATTGGCTCGGCTCCAATACCTGATATTTTAGGTAAGTCTTAGACTTTTAGGCGGCCATCCAAATTAATATTTGCTAAGTTCTGAACTGAGGCCTACATTCCTATTTTAGAAATTAATGTACAACCAACTTCAAATGCCAACCTTGATGATATCTTCGGCTCAGTTGCTTCATCGGCGCCGAAAATCAACCTGGAGTTTAATAGTTTTTCTGTAAACCAGCCGACACCAACTAGTGCAAACCAACCTGGTGTATTGGTTTGTGTCGCGTCAGTCTCAGCAAAATAGTCTTGCATCAACAACCAGAGCTCAGTACGTCATAGTTATTTTTCTTCTCTATTTTTGGAAGCTAGTGCAATGAGTTATAGTTTTAATAAATATTTATTCGATTTGAAATTTTTACTACTATAGTCTTTATTTTGCAGTATATTATATACATATATTTGCAGTATATTATATTTTCATTGATCCACTTAGTTAAGTTTAACTATAACGAAGCAAAATGATGTGTAAAACCAAGTAATTGCTTTTAAATCTAAGTAAAAAAATATACAATTTAAATGATAATTATTAAAAAGATACATGCATACATATATACGTTAAGAACATAAATATATATAGGATATAAAATTTTAATCTCTTTGTCAACTTAATTGCGGCCCTGAAAAGGGCCTTTGGATAAATCATATTACTTGCCTGCAAATAAATAAGTTTATATTTCTATAAAAGACGCTTGATGATTTTTTAAAACTAGGGACTTACGTAGCATGCATGTATTTTAATTTTAGGAGTCTGAAATACTGAGATCAGTGCGTGTGAAATGCGGACATTGATTCATGCTGCAAGTAAAGAACGGTCTACATTAGCAGAATCGGATAATACGCCCTTGTTGTGTCCAAGCAGGTATAGTCGCAGACGGTACTTGAATTCCTGTTGGTCAGGGTGATCATGTAACCCGCCTTATGACCGAATAATGCCGAAGAAATTTTCGAGTACGTCTTGGTTTAGCCGATACGTCAAGACATACTTGACATTAAAGCGAGCTTTAATGTCATCGAATAACAACTTCAACGCCGTATTACTTTGAATGATTCCTAGGGATATAGTAAGAAAAAATAACAAACATTTAATGTTATTCTTGAGATAACCATATGTATTAATTTACCTTTTTGGAATGGCAGCAGACTAAATTTGCCAAGCACCCTCATATTTTTGACTAGGTCGGTCATCTCGTCTAGGATCTTGTTTTGCTCCTCGATCGCTAAACCGTAAGCAAGACACCGCTTCCTGGAGTCGGCGTGAGGCACCCTGACGTTTAGAACGTCAAACCAGTCATTTGTCTAAGGTGTATAATTTGAACATGAGTTTTAATATTGCGGTTTAAATATATCGTAACCTTAATTCACAAAGGCCCTAAACAAAAAAATAATTATATTTTATAGCAGAAGCAATAAACGTTATAAAAATAGTATCGAAAATAGGTAGAGCTTTTGAAAAAGGGGCATGTAACTCCGTTGCTTTTGGTACTAACACTTTGACATTTTTATTTAAGCTATATTTTAGTACGAAAAACTGTTGGTTAGAGCCTTTGTGAATTAAGATAACGATATGTAATATAGTAAAATATATAATATATCAATTTCATAATATAATATAATAACACATACTGTTTTGAATAACTGGAAGCATTCGGTCCAGTTTTGGTTCTGCAAATGACCCAGACTTGCTGCCCTTGTTATGGCCTGCGCCACAGTATGCGAAAATAGTTTCGCTGCCGTCTTGACTTTTTGGCGGTGAGCTCCAGCCACGGTCAAGTTACTTGCAGAAATCTTGTGAGTTATTGTCAAGTCCGTGCTTGTAATTGACAATAACTCCAAAATTGTTTCCTTTTTCACAGGTTTCCCATTAATTAGGAAACCTTGATCAAGGAAATGATTTCGCAAAAGTTTTAGCAAGTGTGGCACGTCAGCGAAAACGTAAATCCTTTGGTCATTGAAAATAAACCTATGGAAATGAGAAGTATTATAAGAACTGAAATCAATAAGTTTAATTGTGATTATTTACCACGGCTGGTCTTCAGTTACGCCTAGATCATTAAATAGGGCCCTATTGGTACCTCCAAGATCGCATACGACAGCCACTGCGTTATAGCCGCAATTTTCCACTTTGCCATGAGACCTGAAATATAAAAGGCCTTAATAAAGGTTTGATATTCTATAAAATCTTGATTGTAATGTTTACCTCTTAACATCGCTACCTGTACGTAGTTGACGGGGGCTAATGTTGAGTCCGACGAAACATCGTAACAGTAAGATTGTCTTACTTTCATTTCGTCGAATTTCAACACGCATAGCTTCTGTGCCTCGTTCATGTGGGTAGCGGCGGCCAATAACCGGAAGACTGGGGTTATAAGTCCGCGCGAAATGTCCAGTTTTTGTGCCCAACTTTGAAGTGTGCGGACCGATGGGAGTGGAAGGCATTGCTTATATAGCAACCTGTATGCTTTAGGACTGGCAGCATACAACGATATTGACTTCGCAATATCCTCTTCCGCCCATTTTCGTCGCTTCGACCCAGACTTCAGCTTCGCTATCTGCCCTTTGGTGAAGATGGAAGCTAGTGCATCTTCCACATTTTTCATTTGGGCAGCCATTTCTTCCAAACGTTTTTGCAGTGACTCCATTTTCCATGCGTGTCTCTTCAATTGCAGGTCGGACTCCTGCTTCAATGTAGCGAGCTCGGTGCACTGCTTTTCGGTTTCCTTTTTGAGGTGTGCATTTTCGCGCTTGAATGTCTCACTTCAAATAAGAGAAATATAAGATATTATTACATTTACACATAAAGATCTGTTACTTATTAACGTACACTTCCACTTTCAACACTTCCACTTCCTGAAGATCAGTATCATAGTAATCACAGTTACGGATAGGTGACGTCGAAGCATCAACAGTACCGTCCCTGGCCCGATATTCTTTATCGCCTTCATTTAAACCAACTAATAAACCACTGACATTAATAATATAATATTTATAGTATAATATTTGCTACCTTCGCAATTTTGTAGCTCAATGATCTCCTCAACGCTGTCATTTTGTGACTCACACACCGGAGCAGGATCTATTTCCCACTCAAAAATGGTTGGCATGGCGTCGCGNCGCAATTTTGTAGCTCAATGATCTCCTCAACGCTGTCATTTTGTGACTCACACACCGGAGCAGGATCTATTTCCCACTCAAAAATGGTTGGCCTGGCGTCGCGGCGAAGCGATGGTCGACTCGCAGTTCCTAAGACTTTTATTAGATATCGACATATATAAGTAATGAAAATAAATGACAGTTACTCATGTAATCCTTATCCGTAAAGTGCTTCATGCATATTACGCTGGTGTCTAAATTGTATGGCTTCTCCTGCCGGCAGAACTCTACCCACTTTCTGGCCAAGGCGTCGTCGCGGGGAAACAAAAAAAAACTGCATTTAGGGCCTTTACCCCTACGGCTGCTGCAATTCAACACACGACACGACATTTTTATAAAGTTTTTATTACAAATAAAATGTTTTTTACTTCAGAACGCACGAATTACTTCGATTTTTCACTTGAAAATACACAATACGTTTGCACTTGTTTATAAACAAAAAGTTTGTTTACGTATTGCCATAAACGTCAAAGTCGGCAAAACCAAAGTAGCGGTTTCGGGAATGCGCCACCTTCAGTTCATTACACCATGGCAGTAACACCACCTTGTATAAATTCGCCCTGGGCAAGGCGAATTTAATAAGGTGGTGTTATAGGCGAATCTGATCTGATCGATTATTTCCTCCTGAATCCTCTCGCGGTTTTCGGTAACGAGTTTTCCTTTCTTCTCCTGTTGTCCTTATGCGCCAGGTTTTCACTCTAGATCTGTTGAAAATGCTTCGCGTTTTTTGTACCTTTTCACTGGAACTATTAATCGATAACAATGGGTGCAATCCAGACAGCGAGAAAAACTGGAGTACTTTCATTGGAAAAGCGTAGTTGTAAAAAGAGCGTTAGTGAACCCAGATACGGTATTATTATAGACCGTCGCCAGTACACATTTTCATTGCCCGATGGGGGTTACTTCAGTTTTTTTGTTTACCTGCCAAACGTGGTAGAGGAATCTCTACTCCTAGATCGGCTAGTATGAGATTTGTTAACCAACTCTGTAGTGAGTCCTTCTACATTACTGCGATCATTCTTAGTCACCTCCAAAATATTTTAAATATGCTGCCCAACGGCGATGAGGTCTATTGTCTTCACTTGCTAAATTTTTGCTGTATGCTCCAGAAACATTGAATTTTAGCAATCGTCATTAAAGAAATTGTGAACATCGGCCATTTTATAGCAGCACACAATTGATGCGCAGACTTTCTTGGGGAAAAGTTTCCCTCCATTGGCAACTTTTCGAATGCTTCTACAACTTAAGGAAAATTTTCTGAAAATTTCCTGATAGCATTATATTTTTCCGACCATATTTTTTCACACAAACCTGATATATTAGGAGCATAATTCTTGCGTGTCGTTGATTCGCGAACAATTTTATCACATCTTTTATAGCCCTGACAGACATGTGGTTTGTACACCATGGTATGCATACTATGGATTTTGATACTATTTCCATGTGACACATATTTAGTACTTATACCGATGTTTTGTTTCTTTATCACAACTGATAGCATGTATGTAGTCCTCGGGCACGAGATTTTTTTTCATAGCATTTTTATTCATTGAATTTTTATGATATTAAAGTACTTAGGTTTGTTTCATAATGAAATTGTTTTTAAACAAATATTTCCTCGTTTCATTTTCGCGTTCTTTTAAATAAAATAGAAAGCAGTTCTCTTGTCCTCCATATCTTTCCTTAGGAAACTAAAACGTGAGACTGCTTACTGAATACCAGGGTAAATGTCTGTCACATCGAAATATGTAGTACCAAAATCCATAGTATGCATACCATGGTGTACAAACCATATGTCTGTCAGGGCTATTAGCCTGGTATTCAGTAAGCTGTCTCACGTCTCTAGTCTCAAAAAGAAAAATATGGAGGAAAAGATATTTGCTTTCTATTTTTTTAATGACCTCAGCTTCGATCCGTCCGTGAATATATTTATTGGACCTCTGTTCCAGAAACTACCATTCTCCTATTCTTTCTGTCCAGGATCAAGCCCAATAACTTGACCTTGTCAGAAAGAACAAGGGAACCACTTCCTATTGAG